TTCTTCTCTCAGATTTAATGCTTCTTGCACAGATATTTTCTCCTCTCGCTTGCCTCCTACTCTTCGCGCACAAACCGCGCTCTGCTCGAGTCTCAGTTACGCTCGCAAACCCGTAGGCTCTGCTTGAGGATTTTTTTTGCTCTCTCTCAGATTGGATCGGATCGTCGCCTAGCAACCGTTCGAGCCAATAGAACGACAGCCTCAGCGCTCGTCTGGAACACGTCAGATACGCTGATATGTGTTGGAGAGAAGTTCTGGATAAGTTACGCAGAAGTTACTCAGAGGTTTAGGAAAAGCTAGACGCCACCACTGATGAGAAACTGATACTGAACGGATGTCAGCCATCAGATAACTGACCTGGAACTGACGGCCCACGGATGAGCGTACGCTGGCAAGCTTCAGCAAGCTCAACTTCTATTCCAATAAAGTTAAAAAACAATCCACTGGACTTGGTTTCTAAGTTTGAAGACGTTCCGCTCTCTATGGAGTCAGAAAGGGGTCAAAATGTAGTCCATGAATGCAACATTGAACGGGACATCTGCTGCAAGCTGTCAATCATGTTTCCCCGCCCACTCCTGTCAGATTGGGGTCAAAATCTGAACGTGAAAAAAACTGATTTGAATGTGTAAAAAAAAAAAAAATTCCTGAAACTGAAAAAGAAATTGAAAGAAAGGGATCTGAAAATATAAAATCTAAAACTGCGATTAAAAAAAGAAATAAAAAAAATGAAAAAGTGTATTTAAAATACTAAACTGAATTATGAGTTTTTTGAAGCTGAGGGGAAGAATTTAGATTAAATTCTTATTATTTTATGTTTGTTTTTTTAGTTTTTCGATTACAAGGTAAAAATTGGACATTTAATGTCAACATTCAAGTTTTAACTACAAGGTATAAGTTTACAAACATTTTGACCCCTTTCTGACCCCATAGATTCCCATCCAGGAAGATTTTTTCAATTCATAATGTCGGAAAAAGTGCTGAGTTCGAGGCTTTATAGAATGGAGCAAAAAAAAAAAACTTGTTTTGGCTTAGAAATCATGTAAATTAAACATGACTTAAACAAAACGTAGCCATAACTTATCCAACGTATGCTAGCGTTTCTGCCAGATATTTCCTACATCAGGCACTCGCTGGTTTAAATCGTCAGGGTGTGAAAGCGGCATGAGGGCATCACCTGCAGCCTGCATGCAGGACGGCGATGAGAAGTTTCTGCTCCTGCAACCGAACGCCGTTCTACGGAAGAGGATTAGGGCCACTGAAAGAAAAACTAATTTTTATAAAAAAATTTCAGTTTAGTATGG